CCCACATCCCGCCGTATAGTAGCCGGCAAATGTGGGGGTGATTTTGGATTAAAGGTGCTTAATTGCCCTGTCTAGGTTTATCGCTGGACGAATGTGGGAAAATATTTTTGGGTGTCCACATAGTCCCACCGTATAGTAGCTGGAGAAAGTGGAAAAATGATTTTTGGGTGTCCACACAGTCCTGCCGTATTGTAGCCGGCAAAAGTGAAAAAACGGAAGGTTTTTGAAAATGTTTTGGGTGCCTACATCCCGCCGTGTAGTAGTCGACTAATGTGGGGGATGGTTTTCAAAAGTTGAAAAATGGTTTTGGAAAAATATGATTTTTGGAAGAAAATGGCTTTTGAGAAAATGGTTTTTGGTAGTTCACTTCCCGCTGTATAGTAGCCGGCGAAAGGTGGAAAGTGTTATGGATTGGGTGCCTGCTGTCTCGCCGTAGTAAGTCGGCAAAAGGTAGATTGTGTTGAAATATGTGTTGAGAAGTGTGTTGAGTTGATGATGTTAATTGTGACTTGTGTTGAATTTGTGAAATTGCATATTGATGTGTAATTTGGCTTAACAAGGAAATGTGCATAGACATTATTTGTAATGTATGGAACCCAAAAATGAGTGAGGGGATTAGGATTGGTGACGGTGAATATAATGAACTCATTGTGGCAATGAAAGTAAATTATGAGTGTTGTTTTGTAAATAAATGAGAGGTTGATTGAAAAGGGTTTATTAATCATGTGTTATCTTGAAATGAAATTTGAGAGTGTAAATAATGAAGTGAATTGGGTATAGGAGAATTGTTAGTGAATTTAATAGGGAACTATAACTTGAAGTTATGAGGTCGTAAATAAAAATAACGGGTAGGAAAGAAGAATGAAAGAAAAAGAGGAACATGAAAAATGGAAATTAAATGATAAATGTTTTGAGAATTGGTTAATAACTTTTAAATGATGTTGTTTCTTAAATATGTTTGTTTCACAAGGATCTATGGTTTTCTAAAGTTTTGGGATGATTTTAATGGATGAAGGTTTTTCTTAAAAAGTGTTTAAATAGTTTTTGAGAAAGAGGCACTTACTTATGATATCATGAAATTGTAAAAAATGTCACCCTACTACATGGTATCACCCTGCATGCATGATCATTTCTATTTATGTGTTAGTTATTGATTGAGAACTATGAGATTTCTACTGGGCATCAGTGCTCACCCCGTTGTTGTTTTATTTTTTTACAGGAAGAAAGTTTGGATTAGTTGATTGAAGATTTATGGAGTTCTTGAGTCTTTTTGTATAACTTCATAGTAGATGTAAAGGAAATGGATTTTGTAATTGTATTTATTTATTTGTTGCACGGTAGGAGATTGGCATGTATTGTTATCAGTGTAATATTCATTGAGAGAGAGATAACTTGTATATTTGTATTTCTATTACTCAAGTGTAGTAGATACTTGTGTATATATAATAATAATTAAAAAAAAAAGAACCTAAATTACAAGCTTTGGTAATGTTTTTGAGTAATTAAAAATTGGGGCGTGACATCTCAAAAACTCATCCGATTTGTTCAACCCACTCATCGGCCTTCAGTGGCTCTCTCGGATCTCTCAAAAACTCATCCAGATTCGATCATAAGAACTCCCTTTTTAGAAAAGACGGCCCTGTCTTAGCAACATTGGCTTGGACTTGATTCTCAGCCCTAAGAATGTCCATAGATTCTTGCAGAGCTCCAACCATTTCATGGGTCAAAGCACCCATGGCTTGTTGACCTGCTGGCTCGGCCTCGTTGGGCTGACCAACTCCTTCTTCTTGCGTCGGAATATCATCCGGTAACGGCACCTCCTGTCGTCTAGGCCTACCACGCCTACCACCACCATGTCCACATCCTGACATTCTTATAAAAATAGCATAATAGATTAGCACATTTACAAATGTGCTGAAGCTAATTCACTCACGTCCTAATACGATGGACAACAATTAATTCACTCCACATAGGCACCTAATTTCATAAACACAAATGAACTTCCTTTGTAGATAGTGACCGTCCCGCGACATTGCCAGAGTTCTAGTTAGAAATAGCAATGATCAAGTGCTCTTCTAACAGGACTTCTAGAAACTTGTAGACCCAATCAATATCTAAGAATTAAATCCCGTACTCATTTAGTCACATAAGCATATTATCACATAGCATACCCGGTCTGTTTCTAATATCATCTAGCAAGAGAACCTAGTATGGTAAAAACCACATCCCACGATTCCAAAGTATTCAAACTCTGCAGCTCTGATACCAAATTGTAATGCTTCGAAATAAATAACAATAACCTATCTCATAACATTACTTACAATTGATCAGCAACACCATATCTTCTATTCCATTTATACCTTTGATCCATATAAAAGATGACATATGCAATATAAATTCATAAATCTTAGATTTTGAATCTATAGCATATGACATGGATACGTGAATTAAAATAAAAGTAAAACCAAATAATTATATGCCATAATGGATACATCATTCCAAGTCGATACTTGGGTACAACAAAATGAGTTTAATTCAATACAATTAATGCCTGAGGCTTAAACAAAAATAATTACATCAAATAAACAAATGAAGCCCTTGGCTTCAAGTCCTCCCAAGCTACGTTCGTGGTAAAGGCAAATCATCAGCACTTGAAAGTTGTTTTACACATAGAGTGAGCCAAAGCCTAGTAGAGATACTCTAACACAATATATGAATCTTAACATAGTTATAAGGTAAATACACATTCATGCCATTTGTCAAACGTTTCACATTTTTCATCTCAAAACAATGCAATGTCAGATTATTCATCAATTCATGAAAATAATAATTTTATAACAGAAAATAGGGCAGTGGATACAAAGCACTGGGAATCTCTTGGTACGTGTCCATAGTAGGCTATGCAAGCACTACCAAAGCCATTTTACGGGTAATAACCGGAAGGATCGACACCAAACTGTGCGAGTTTCTAGACTTTCACTAAGGACACACAGGCTAACATCATAACCACAACTGCCCCTCCTAATTAGATTCACCAAGGTATTCATCTATTTTTCTCAAAATCAATATATATTTTCAATGTTCAATATGAAAGGATGCTTGATGCAAGATGTATAAGAAATTGATTTCAATTTAACTTAATCCTCATGCAATTTCTACAACAATCAAAGTTATCTTCCACTAATAACCCAAAACAAATATTTCTATACAACAGATAGTTTCCAATCAAAAGATATAATTCCATAATTTTAAAATGTGAGTGATATTACATATCCAACTCCACCACCATCATTAACATAGACATTGTTCTAATCTTACAAAACCCAACATCATTTTCCATTTCCTTTCACGAATCTAAATATCCATGATTTTAGAACAAAACCCCTTTTACTTAGAAACTCAATTTTAAACAAAGAAATCCATCGTTTTAAACTTATTTCAACTATAAACACATCCCCACAACCCTTCTCAAGAACCTATTTGGAAAACCCTTATTTTAAATTCAAAATCAAACCTTAGATTTACCCAAAAATTCCTAAATCACTAACCCTTTTCAAAGAGCAAATAACTAAGTTAAAAATCATATTCAAGAGAGAGCAAAAGGTAGAAGCTTGGCGGAGCCGAAAATAACAACTCCTCCGATTAGAATGAAGCTCTCGACGTGCTTAACCTTTTTCTCCAAACAACTAGGGTGAGGAAATCAATGGATTTGGAGTATTTGAAGCTAAAGTTCAAGAACTAGAGAGAGAGAGAGAGTGTGTGTGAAGATTTAGGGTTTTGAAATGTTTAGAGAGAGAGTGAGAGAGATGAAAAAGTGATTTAAAATGGCCTTCTCTCGGATTGATATAGAAAACATCGCTCGAGTGTCAAACACAATAAGTGACACCGCTCGAGTGCACAATGACCCCATTCTAGAAGTTTAGACGTGCAAAAGACCGCTCGAACGCAAGAAAGACCGCTCGAGTGAAGATAGCACACTTCCAATAGTTTTGCCGACTGTGAAAGACCGCTCGAGCAAACAGACAAAAATCTGGACAACAACTCTTTGAAAAACTAATCTCCCAACATGATTCAAATACAATAATAACTCCCAATAGCCAAACGCAACAAGTAACAAGATGAAAATAAAATGAACAATAGTTAAGGACATGAATTCTCGGATTCTAAAGTAAGAAATGGGTCGAGTCTAAACCAAAACAGTTATGATTACCTCCCACAAAAACATTTTCCACCTAAAAAGATTGTGCAAAAAAGTCGTCGGTGAACTTGCTATCACACTTGGATTATGAATTCGTGATTCATAGCAAACCTAACAGATTAACTTTTTGAAAACAAACGACCCTCACTAACAATCCCCTCACTATTAATCCCCTCACTATCAATCCCCTTCATTCCATCTCTGGAAACAAACGGGGCCTAACAGATTAACTTTTGGCACACAACAAAATTCATAGAGGCATTTTGTCAAATTGTCAAACCCTATCTATTCAAGCAACGAGCAAGTTATTGGAGCTCTGAAACCTACTTTTTCTAGTCAACTGAATGCCTTTAGATAAACTAAAGCAGAAAAACAAAATGGTTTTTTCTAATTGAGACATTTTATCAAACGACTAGGTGACCATCAATACATAATGATACTTGTAGAAAATAAAAAAATAAAAAAATAAAAAAATCATTTGCAGAAGAAAATTTAAAATGTAGATAGAAGATAGAGAGAGGGGAGAAGAGATGAGATGCGTTGGCTAGAGTTTTAATACTCATTGTGATTATTTTATTTTAGGAATAACTGTCATTAAAATAAATTTCAATAACTGTGCACTAAAATAAGTAAGTGTGTGAAAATAATTTTTTTTTTATTTCAATAACAATCTTTAACCAAACAAAATTTAAATTTAAATTTATAAACATAATGCCTTTTTTTTAATTATTTATTATTTTTATAATTTAAATATTTTTATTTTTTATACTTATAAATTTTAATATAATTATAACATAGCGATTTAATTTCAATTCATTCGCGTTGAACCCGTTCGTCCGATTCAGTTCGCTCACTCATCCAATTTTCAAAACATTTTCAAACATTTTCCTATTGAGAATGGAAGACGACGAGGACCAAGAACCACCGCTCGCTGTTGAAATCAACGATACCACCACCGTCGACCTTAACCCATCGCTGCAGTCCCTTCAATCTGATCAACGGCTGGACATCGTCGACGCTTCACCGGTCGGCGTCACCGTCATCACAGGCTATCTCGGTGCCGGCAAATCCACTGTAAAAAAAAATATATATATATATATATATAAATCCCCATCATTCACTCTCTCTCTCTTTAAAACCCAATTGTTGTTAGTAATAAATTTTCTTGGATTATTGCTTCTGTAAGGGACAAGGGTTTTTGCAGGATTTTGTAATCATATAAGCTCCGTTTGGATACATGGGTTTGAGAAATGAATGAATTTGGTGTTACTCATATTCAATCTAGGTATGGATTTCAACAATGGATGAGATGTGAACGTTTTTTATTAATGAATTTGAAATAACCAAGTGAACATAGTTATTTGAAATCCTTCCATGAATGATTCTAGTTGTACAAAAATATTAACAAAATCCTATCTCTATGCATCATTTACTTTAGAATTATCAATCTATATCCATTAATCAACCTACTTACAATTTCATGAAGTTGAATATCAAATTCCCTCATTTCAAATTCACGTATCCAAATGGAGCCTAAGACTCTTATTTTGTTATAAATTCAGATAATTGGGAAAATTGTTCAACTGATTGATAGGGGGAAACAGATATACCCTTCACATTTTGGAAAAACTTTTTGAATGTTGCACACACATAGCATGTTTATTACCTCTAGTATATGTAATTGTACAATTACGTCTATCTATTATATGAAGCGAGAACACCATTTTGCACCATGTCAATTTTTATACTTCCAGAAGTGGGATAGAATAAAGAATGTGTAAATTTTCTACTTGTTTGCAAATACAAGGAAAGTGAAAAATTCATTGACTTAATATTTGGGATGAAATGGTTAGAAGTGAAGAAAGTGATAGAGGGGAGAGTGGGTATGGTAAAAAGACAGAGAAGTTAATAAGTTGGCAGTTATGCGATTTCGTAAATTCAAAAAGAAAAAGAACATATGCAGTCTACGTGTGCTGTGTGTGAGACTCGTCCTAGTATATATTGTATAAGCATGCGTGTGTTATGAAATTTTGTGTGAGTTTATTTGCGGTTGTGAATTTCAGCTGGTGAATTATGTATTGAATACCCAACATGGGAAGAGGATTGCTGTGATATTGAATGAGTTTGGTGAAGAGATTGGAGTAGAGAGGGCTATGATCAATGAAGGTGAAGGTGGGGCTCTTGTTGAAGAATGGGTTGAGCTGGCAAATGGGTGCATTTGTTGCACCGTCAAGCATAGCCTGGTTCAAGCATTGGAGCAACTTGTGCAGAGGAAGGAGAGGTAATGATGATGAATGACAATTCTTTATTCTTCTTTCTGATTTCATGTTGATTGCATTATCAGGTATTAAAGTTTATGGGTGTAACTGTCACTGTGGATATCTGTTTCTATATGCAAGTGTGATTCTCTTGATGAAGTCAATTGCATATTTTGGTTCTTTTTTTTATTCCAGCTTTTTCTATGTTCTGCTTCAAATTTCATGGTGTAAATTTCTGTCTACCAGAGATTGCTGTGATATTGGATGAAAAGGTCAACATGTTTATTTGAAGTAATTCAACATTTCGTATCATTACTTATGTGGGACACTAAATAGATGATTGCCAACTACCAGAGTATAAATCACTTATTTTGAATTGTTGTTTGCTGTCTGTAGGCTTGATCATATATTGTTGGAGACTACAGGATTGGCGAACCCTGCTCCTCTTGCATCTATTCTCTGGTTGGATGATCAGTTAGAATCAGCAGTCAAGCTTGATTCCATAATTACTGTGAGTTTTACACTATAATTGAACTAATTTTATAGCCATCTGTATCCTGATTCAATTGCGGTCTCATTTCTTTTTATTCATTGGTAGTGAATAGTTGCTTTGTTCATTCTATATTGCTTTTGCATTATCTTAAAATGATATTATGTTCTATATGCCATGGGTAGTTAATATTGGGATAATGAGATTGGAGACTGATTTAAGTTAAGCAGATCATGCTTATTGTTTATATTTAAAGAATTGCTTCTTGAATAGGTTGCAGATGCAAAAAATCTCCGTTACCAGCTCCAAAGGCATCATGATTCTTCCTCATTTCCTGAAGCATTTTCACAAATAGCATTTGCAGTAATTATCCTTATCCTCATGATTTGTTTTTGTCCTTGCTAGCTACACTAAATCTTGTTATTTTACATATGCTGGCATTCCAAGCACTAAATACTGATAAGAAGTTTCATTGCTGCTTGTAGGATGTCGTAATTCTTAACAAGGTTGATCTGGTTTCTCTAGAGGATTCTGGAAGTGCCTTAGAGGATCTGGAGAAGGAGATACATAACATTAATTCCCTTGCAAATATAATTCGTTCTGTGCGGTGTCAAGTTGACTTGTCCAAGATACTAAACTGCCGGGCTTATGATGCTTCAGTTAGTCAGAAGCCATCTTCTTATTTCACTTTTTATGCATATTTTCTTAGTTCATGACAACATTTACCAAGTTAATACTCATATAGGAGTTTTTTTTTTTTTTTTTTTTTTCCAGCAAGTCACTCATTTGGAAGCATTATTGGAAGAAAATAAATCTCTATCTACCAGAGAACTTCATGATAGTGGTGTGCGAACCTTGTGCATTTGTGAGCCATGTCCTGTCAACCTTGATAAGGTACCTTCAATGAAATTGCTGGACTTGTAGTTTCTCCTTTTGATTTCTATTAGTGTCACATTCAGTTGGACAAAATGGAAAACATCTTGAATAGTAGTTGGTCACCTCTACTAGTATCTAAAATGATGGAAACAGAATAAGATCTATGAAATTCTTTAATATTTCATGTTATCTAACTCAGAGGGTGTCTCTGTGATTTTCCAATGTCATCTTTTTATATCAACAATGCATGTGTACTTCAAGTTTATTGCTAGAGAGAGAGAGAGAGAGATGCAGGTGGTTTTGGCTGGCTAATATGGGTAAGCTTTCTGACAGACTCACACTTTGCTTTGAATCTCTATTTCTCTCATTAATCAAGTCAGTCAGATAGAAACATGAAATCCAGATGGGTCATATCTCAAAAAGTGTTGGATAGAATAGCATACGTTTTATATATCTCAAAAACACTGCATGTATCATCTGTTATCCTTGGATATATATATTGTTTCACCAGAGTTCTGATGCTCATCTCTCTCTCTCTCTCTCTAGGTTCGATTGTGGATTGAAGAGATTCTTTGGGATAAGAAATATAACATGGATGTTTATCGATGCAAGGGAGTTCTAAGTGTCTTAAACTCAGATCAGCTTCATACTCTACAGGTAATGGTTGATATTAAATGCCTGTAATTTATTTATGAAGATCAATACTCATCTTTTAACAAGTCAGCTTTGGTTTAAGACTTTCTGTTTGTGGTTGTGATGTTGTACATTTCCTTGTTCTTTTTTGTTCTCTTTTAGTGGACTGTTTGAACGATATGTTCACAAATTATTTAAGATTTTAATGTTTTGACATGACAGGCCGTGCGAGAGATATATGAGATCACTCCTACACGTAAATGGAGAAGCAAAGACAATCAGACGAACAAGATAGTTTTTATAGGCAAAGATCTAGCCAATACTAATTGTATTTTCCTGTTTCTTGATAAATATGCATAGACCTCTTCCTCATTTTCTTATTCCCCATTGCAGGTCAATCACTAAATGAAGAGATTCTTCTTAATTCCTTCAGAGCCTGCATAGCAACAACAGCTTGTTAATTTTTGTTTTTCACAGACATACAACCAACCTAGTGTTATCAAGGATGTGCAATGGATCATGGTTAAATATCAAGTCAAAAGGACTCACTCAGTAGTTGCAATTGAAGTCCTTCATGGAACTTAAACATCTGGGGATTTCAGTTCTCTTACTAGTTGCTTTAGCTCTTCTCAAAGAACATTTGTGTTGAGATCTTCTCTTCTTCTTTTTTTCTTTTTCTTTTCCTTCATTTTTTTTATTTTTATTTTTCTCCTCCCCTGTTGTGTAACCTATTTCTAGCATGTATGATGCTTACATTTTGTTTGAATTATGGGATTATTCAATGATAAAGAGGGGAAGCCTTGTTTACAATGATAAAAGATATTTGAAGGATTGAGAAGAAGAATGTGATTAGATTAGATTATTCACCTTTTGTTTGAATAATCGGCCATCTTCTCTGGCAATTTTAGATGCTCTACTAAAGAGAAACGATGTTAAAGTTTTACAGCCAGGAATACAATTGGAACACACCGAGACTGCTGGGGGTTTCTAGTGGTGGGTCAAATTCTCTTTTTTATGAGAGATGGACAGAGCAACACAAGACAGACAGAGACAAGAAGTTTCATTCTTACCACGATTGTGGAAGGAAGCACAATCCTAGAGAGCAGTTGGGTTAGGCTGTAAGTTTTTGTTTTTTGTTTTTCTTAATCGGCGAAAGTTAGTAGTTAATTATTAGATTAGCATTTGAAAAGTTGAAATTTACATCTATGCACTTAGCAAGAAAATCTGTCCTCACGTTCCACTTTTCAGAGTGGAACTTAAGACCTCCTCCTTAAGAGAAACTTGGTGGTCAAAAACCTAGCTGACTACGCTAGAGCCCCTTGGTCGGGTTAGGCTTTAAGTTGTAGGCTTAGGCTGTGAAAAACTTTGATAAAATTGACAAAAGTTGAGGATAGAAAAGTGCAAAGACTATATATATCGGATCGGATGTCCCCGAAGAGACAAAGACTATATATATATGATGTGAGAGGATTTGTGAGGCCTCTAGGCCTGTTTGTTTTAGGTGATAGGGATTGGTATTGGATAAACATGGAGGTGGGGACAAACCCTTTTTTATCTGAGAATTGTTTGAATTCATCTTCTCTACTTTCTCGCATATGGTCTCAAATTGTGTGTTTTAAATTTTGATTTGACCATACACGATCAATAAAATCTCCTTCTTCAAGATTTCCGAGAATGAAGTTGATCTTTAGGATGAATTCGCCTAGATCCTCACCTACGAAATCACTGTTAGTATTGCCTCAAATGACAAATCGGGAGGGCACTATAATGATAAAGTTAGTATCTCTCTTAACAATACTAAAGCACAATAAATTTATGCTGTATTTGGTTGGGGAAAAAGGTGTGTAGAATTAAGTAAAATTTAAATATATTTTATTCACATTTCATCTATGCTTTCCCTTTCCCTTTCTTTTCCCTTTTCCTTTCTCTTTCTAAATCATTTTCCAAGTCCTCCAATCAAATATAGCATTAGTGCACAACATCTCACGTACTTGTACCCACAGAGGTTGATCCCTTTATATAGAGTGTCTTGCCACTACCTAAGAGGTCTCTTTGTCATAAACACTAGGTAGGAGTGTAAAAATGGGCCGCGGCCCGGGGTGGGTCTAACCCGTTTGATCTCGGACCCGAGCCCTGGGATCTGGGTTTGGGCCATTATTTTGAAGTCCGACCTGGCCCGTAGCTTAGCCCATCGGCTCGCTTAAGGCCCGACCCACGCGCGAGACCCAGTGTCTTTTTTAGTAGAAAATAATAAAATTTTGGTAAAAAAAATGGTCAAGCCTGTCCAAGCCTGACCCAAGTCTGAAGCCAGGCCCGGTCCGCCCAAGGCCCGAATACTCACTGGGCCTAATTTTTTGGTTAGTGGCCCGATCCGAATTTTGACAGGAGTCAGTGAGGCCCGACATGAATCGGACCAGGCCTGAGCCCGGATGAGTCAAGCCAGATCAAATCGGGCTAGATTTACACCCCGGACTCTAAGACTCATCCTCATCCTCATCCAGGACTATCGTCTCATAGTTCAATCAGAGTAATCCTCTTTCAAAAAGTTTGATCTCTAGCTGCCTTAGAACTCCGCAATTCACTAGGACTCTTCCGCCCAGTCCTAATAGCTCGGCTAGAGTGTGGGCCATGGCCACACCTCACCCTGCCATGGCCAACCCGAGGTCACACCATGTAGTCTAACTAAAAACATGTCTCCACATTTGTCAATAAGAATAAATTGACAAAATATTCATAATTTTATATATTTCTAAATATTTTTATATATTTTAATATAGTTTTTATTTTATACATTTTTTTTCCCATTAATAACGGCCCTAACAACTAGTTTTAGTATTTTCAATAAAATAATGGTAGTTTCACACAAATGTATATTTGTTTGATGTACATTGACAAGTGCATTCAATAATTTTTTCAACATTAAATTACATCGGTAGTTTTTATATTTTGTCTCTACTAATATTTTGGTCGTTGTCAATTTCAATTTAATTAATTTTAATTTTTAATTTTAAATTTTGTATCAATTTAATCTAATTGATAATGCAAATTAGGATTTTTGTAAATGATTACTGAGTTAGTTATACTTTATCTGGATTAAGAGGTTTGGTAAGAAAAAAAGAAAAAAAAATAGAGAAAATGATATTTCTCATCACTTATTTGGATGGTTAGCGAGGTGAGTAATGGTGAGAAAGACAAATCACTTCAAATTTAAATTTATTTTCTCACCAAAAGTGATGAAATTTGATGAGAAATCAAAATTACTCATTACAAAAAAATTATAATACCTAGACTACTCTTTAAATACCAAACAAATAAAATAAAATAAAATAAAATAAAATATGGGTCCTTCAATCATTGTCCATCCAAATGAAAAGGTGGTAAACTACGAACATTTATTTTCTTTTCTTACCTAGGTGTGAAACTCAAATCACTTTATTTCTTTTCTTATCTCATGATCCAAACGGAGTGCTAAGATTAATTTAGTAAGTTGAATAAGTTTAATGTACATATTTTTCTTAAAAACAAATACTAAAAATTGTAATTAATTAGATCAAATTGAGACAAAATCATAAATTGAAGGAATAAATCGAACAAATTAAAATTAGAGAAACTAAAATGACAGGAAATTCTATTTACATGCCACAAATTCTCTCAATATACATCATTTTTTTTTGGGAGTAAAAAACACTTTTACTCTCTAAACTATCACCAATTTGTTTATGTAGTCCCAAAATTATTAATTTTGTCTTCTTGATGCCTAAACTATCACATTTTGATTCTGTTTGATCCAAACGGTGGATGGCATCCAAATTGTTAATGGTAAGGCAAAAACGTGTCCTGTGTTATGGAAAAATAGATAATTTTTCACAAGTAAATCAATCGAAAGAAATAAAAATTAATACGAAAAAATTAAATTAACAACGACACAAGAATTTTTACATGATTCCCTTAATGTGAGATACGTCCACGAAACCGTTGTCTGATTCCACTGTCAACCAAGAGTTTTCAAACGATTATAAACGAGACATAAATGGTCTTACAAACCATCCTTAAGTAAATTCTAAATAATTACAAATAAATAGAGAAAAAACCTCACCAAAATAAATAAACAAATTGTCTTCAAACAAATTATAAAGGACCCAAAATAATAGACCCAAACTAGCTTCACCAAAACAGTCGAAGTTGCACCCAAACAGAGAAACCTTCGAAGCACAAACAGAGTAGTAAAAAAACTTCACCTCAGACTTAGGCCAATGCACTACCGAAAACACATAGTTTGTGCAACAAAACACAACCCCGCCGAATGAATGATAATCTAATGCACTATACCAAAAACAATACAAATTGTATTGTTTACTCTTGGACTTCCCTTAAAACTCTTGTTGTCACCGAATAGATTTTAAGTATTCAATGGGTCTCCAAAAAGGTCAGATATAATATATTAAAAAATATTATAATTAATACTAAATCAAATTAAATATTCTTTTATAAAACCAATTGGGTCCCATACTTTACTAAGGAGGTATACCCATCAATTCACCCCCATCGATTTAATTGGAGACATCAAACATACCTGCCAAAGTTCGACACTTCAAATGTTTGTCTCTTGACGAAGTCTTAGTCAACATATCTGAAATGTTATAATTCGTGTGAACCTTTTTGAGTTGTAACAACTTCGAATCTAACACATCATGAATCCAAATGATATCTCACATCAATGTGCTTCGATCTCGAATGAGAAGCAGAATTTTTATTCAAATGAATAGCACTTTGACTATTATAATAAAACACATACCTCTCTTGCTTCAAACCCAACTCTTGTATAAATTTCTTCAACCATAACTCTTCTTTGCAAGCTTCCGTAATGGCAATTGAAGGAAAAATATATGGGTAATCATATTATCTGATACAAAAACGGTTTGGATCGGATGCTTGAATTATGAGTCTTGTCTGGAAAACCCCCCCTTCAATTGAGAAGCTGCTAGAGTTTCTCAATATTTATCCACATTCCAAATTCCTAGGCTTTTCAGATGGTAGCCTCAAGATAGATAAATAGAGAAAAAAGCCTATTGTTTTTGGTACATATACACAATGTTAAGCATGTGCCCTTATATGGCAAACCATGTGTACCTTATGGTTAGGCCACACCATGTGTACCACATGTCTTCCTTATGGTTTCCAAGACCATGTGTCCCTCATGGTTAGGCCATGTGTGGATGGACCATGTGTACTTCGCGGCCTTCAAGGTTAGGCCATAACATATATACCACAAGGTGTACCATATGGTTTCGAACATATGATTTCCAACAACGATAAATTCAGTTTCGGTAGTTAAGAAAGCAACACGTTTTTGTAATTTAGATTGTCATGCCACAACTCCCCCTACAAATGTCATTAAATACCTCGAAGTAGATTTCCTAGAATCAAGATCACAGGCCATGTCGGAATCTGTGAACCCATCAAGCATTGGCTTACCATTCCCAAAACACAAACACATCTTCGAAGTCCCTCGAAGGTACCTTAAAATCTATTTCACAGCTACCCAATGTTCTTTACTCAGATTAAAGAGAAAACGACTCACCACACCAACGACATGAGTAATATCCGGCCTTGTACAAACCATGATGTACATCAAAGAACCAACCACTAAAGCATAAAGAATTTTCAGCATCTTTTCCTTGTCTTTCTCACTTGTAGGATATTGATTCAAATTAAGTTTGAAGTGACTCGCAAGTGAGCAACCAACTGGCTTTTCTTTATCCATGAACCTCTCAAGAACTTTCTCAATGTAGCTTTCTTAAGACAACCAAATTAGCCC